CACGCTGTAGCAGCAATTACTTGGCAAGAAATCAGGCACAGATCTTCACCCTAAGGAAGCGAACTAATGGTCTCCTGCAAACTCCACTCCCCTTTTGCTCCTCTTTTATTTCCTCCGGCTGGGGCCATTCATCGTCCACCTGTGGCCTTACTCTCAAGTCGACCCCTGTTCTTTAGCTGTTCCCTTCGCCTGGCAACTCTACGCATGCGTACACTGGGAACAGGCTCCAGCTGTTCCTCCGCCTCACTGATGTCTGACTCTGACGGCAGCTGATGACTGGCATATGGAGAGAAGAAAACGTCCTGGGCTCTTAAGAACTTTCATAATGAGTAACTCTTTCCAAAAATCATTTCAGTTCTTCTGCTTCAGACCCTTAACTGCCAGTTTTTGCAAACAGATGGAGGGAAGCTGGCATTTCTCAACCCATCGTGCAGGTTAAGCCTGCAGCTGGTTTGGTCCCTCCTGGAAAATTTGGAGAGGCTGCAAGATATCAGCGTTCGAAGCTACATCTGGAAACATCCTCCAGTGGAGAAACTCAACGTATGCTCAGCTCTTCTCTCCCCTCTCTTGCCACTGAAGGCGATCTGCACTTTGAGGGGAGAAAAACATCATCATCAGAAATGGAAAAGTTGCTTTTAAAAAATGTATAAGCAGAGGACTTAAGGGCCGCTAGGCTTCATTCATAATTCACCAACGCTTATGGAGGAATAGGATTTGATGCAGGGAAGGAGGGGTTGTGTGTCTGTCTGCATAGCAGGTAAATTGCATTTTAAGCCCCTTTTTTTCATTCTCCATGAATGTATGGAGATCTCAAGTGATAGAAGGTCAGGAAGCACAGCTGAAATGGGATTTCTCCTTCCTCCTCCTCCCCCTCTCCATAAATCCAACTCCCTTCTAGCATAGATGATGTTACCTAGCTGGGTCACGAAATGCTTAGCCAAGGGACCCCATATTATTATTATTACACAATTGTATCACAGCAGCCAGTTGTTTCACCGGATTTGGCATTGGTTACTAGTTGGGCCCCACCACCCAGGGGCCTAGGACGTCGTAATGTATTTTCATAATATGCGTGCAGATCCAAGCAGTGCGGCTTTTTGCATTTGACTGATGGTGATTTTGTCAATTTTTAAATGTGT